AGAAAAAAGTCAGGCTGAATCTCCTCCGAACTGAATCAGCACCTGAAGCTTCGCACAGCCCTACAAGACATGCGCTGCTGTTGTAACCCCATTAGAGGAGGGATGGAAAGCATGGATGGCTAAGTGATACTTGAATCCCCGTGGGAAACAAAAGCATAACTTCCTAGAAACAGTCCTTGGAGGAACCTGAACAGGTTTGGAAATCATAAGCACTGTAAGTGAGGAGACTTTGGCTAATAAAATGCATAGTATCAGAACAAAACTCGAATCTCTGACAGTTGCATTGAAGTCCTTGTTGACACCATTAGAAACAAGTCACTTTTTTTGCTACCGCACTACTTCCTGAATGGAAACGATTGACAAAAATGCCATAGAAATACTAGCAAATGCGTTGGGAGGCTAAAAGGTGAATGCAGCTTAATGCTAGGGACATGTCAAGTACAAACATGGATGCAGACCTTAATAATGGATTTGATTTGAGATGGTAAAAATGTTATTTTACCAAATGAAATTTGTAAGATAGTTTGGGACAATGCCACCAAAGAAGAGTGAAACTTGCGAAGCTGGTGAAAATTGGTAAATTTTACCATGGATGTTGCACAGAATGTTGTTGTTGCATATGTGACAACTGTTGCACACGCTCAGCGCTTACAAGTATACCCAATTGAAAATAAATGTTAATGGCTCAGTTTTATATCAAATGAGTCTCAGTAGTTGGGGCTATCAAAAAAAGATAATACTTGGAAAGCTGTTAATTTGAAAGCCTGTGTTATAGAACATGGTCTTGGATGTGTTTGTGAAGACCATGTAATAAAATTAGTGTGTGTGTCTTAACTCATCCCAAGGGAAAGTGTCATTTTGAATTGGACCCCAATCCAGATAAGTGTTAAAGCTTGAATGCTGTAATTTTAATTATGATGTCCCTGCATATATTAGTCAAGCACTTAAAGCTGATTTTGTTTTGTATGAGCATGTTAAACTCTTACACATAGAAATATATATAACTTTGGTGAAACAAATGTTGCAGCACCCAGATTTGCAAATTCGATTGCAAGAAGCAAAAAGATAAAAGGCCCAAGTGCCCTTATTACAGTTCACCATGATGTAGATCAAGTTACTCAAATTTTGGACTGCCTTAAAAAGATGGCATATCATAGCTTTTGGGAATCAATATGGTAATAGTCTCCAGAAACTACATGAATTTTGAATGCAATAATGCACCCACTTGTTGTTTTGCTGGGCATCATCATCATTATGGTAGTTGCTCAAGTTGGAATGGTAGTCCAAATGCACCAACTGGCACGAATCATCCAAAAACAAATTCAGAAAGAGAAAATTTATAAGCAGCTTTTACTTCCCTATCCACATTAAAAAAACTCTAATGTGCCTGGCAGAAAAATCTAACACTCAGAGTTGGTGGCCCCAACTGCCTCAAGTACAATAGCCAGGACAAAAGAGTAAGTGGTAGCACTGGAAAAGATTTTCCTAGCTACCAAGGAGAGGAGGTGTTGCAAAAGAAAAAAA